CGCCAAACATCCGTCGGCCATTTTTTCGGTCTAGTTTGTAGTTTGTAGTCTTTGCAGTATTTTCAGTTAGTAGTTTGTATTTTTTGTAGTTTGTAGTTCATAGTCTTTAGTAAAGTTTGAAAAATTAACATCTAAAGAAATAATCACCCGCTGGACATCCGCCAGACACCCGTCACCCATTTTTTGGTCTAGTTTGTAGTTTTTGTAGTCTCTGCACCTTCCAATTTTTCAGAAACATCTCCGAACCCCTTCTCTTCCACCTCGATCAACCGTCTCGATTCTTCGAAATCGATCACTTCTCTGGAAAAGTGTCTACAGTACTCCCCGTCGGTTACGGTATCTACCATATTCGAGTAGTAGCTAGGAACAGTAAGAAACAGGTTGGTTTTTGAAATTTTCAGCAAAAGTAATTTTTTTTTGAAAAAAATTTTTTTTTTCGATTTCCAAAATTTTTGGAAGTCTGAAAATAATTTTTTAGATCACAAAATTTAAAAAATCCTGAAAATTGCATTGTTCAGCGCTCCGATGCATGGCTCCAAATCATCGTCAGTGGTCATTTGAAGAATTGGGAAAAGTCTGAAATTCAGAAGACGTCAAGATCCCGACGTCATCTGGATGACTTGATTTTTAGGATTCCAGAAAATTCGACAATGGAAGAAATTGAGAGGAGGAAAATGGTAAGGATTACTTTTTCGAAAATTTTTTAGATTTTCAAAAAATTGAAATTTCTGAATTTTCAGAAATTTACAAAAAGTTTTAAATTTCAAAGATTCTATTCAAAAATTAAATGAAAATCCAAATTTTCGAAATTTTCCACAAATGATTTATTCTGGAATTCTCGGATTTTCAAATTTTTCGGAATTTCTGTAATTTTGAAATTTGCATATATCTTTCATAAAATTCTGAATTTCTGAAAGTCTGGAATATCCAAAAATTTTGAAAATCTCAAAGTTTTCAAAATTCAGGAGAACTATTAAATCCCAAAATACTGAAATTTTGCTAAAATTCAAAAAAATAATTTTTTGAAATTTTCGAATTTTTAGATTTTTTTCTGAATTTCCGGGAAATAATTTTTGGATTTTTGAATTGTCAATAATGGCCTAGAATTTTATAAAATTTGAAAATCTTCCATTTTTTTTCCAGAAAATTCCTCTATTCCCCGGTGAAACGATAGGAGAAATCAGTGTTGCCAAGGAATGGCTGAAAATCGATGCAGAGGGGAAAATTCGAATTTTGAAGCCGTTGAATTTCGAAAAAACCAGCTCCATCATCGCTACAGTACCCATTAATGGTCTTCAGAGCAGTTAGTTTTCATTTTTGGATATTTTGTAGTTTTTAGTTTCAGAAAAATTGGAAAAACCTCGAAAAATTCAAAAAGCTGAATTTGAAAAATCCCAAAAACTTATTATCTAGCATTTTTCGATAATTTTAGAAATTTGAGGATCAGAATATCCCTGAAAATCGAATTTTAGAAAATTTTGAAAATCTTTAAACCCTTAAAAATCATTTTGCTATTGCGTATTTTGTAGTCTTTGTAGTCTCTGTAGTCTGTCTAGTACCCAAAAAGTCTAAAAAAATCTGAAATTTCAAAATTCAAGTTTTCAGTAAAACCTGAAAATCTACATTTCGAAAATCTGATAATCTGAGTCTTTTTAGTCTCTGCATGTCCCCATTCATCAAAATTAGGGTCAATTTCTAAAATTCAGGCTCTTCCACCTGTTAGCTTTTACTAAATCATCATCAATCATCATTATACCTCTTCTCTAGGTTCTCTGCGTCTCTCTCTCTCTCTCTCTCTCTCTCTCACACACAGAGAGTTGATTCTACGCCTTATGTTCAAAAATGTTGAGCATAAAATTAGTATGATGGCAGCTAATCAAATCTCCCCTCTGCTGACATCTTCTAAATATCTTCAGAAGACGTTGACGTTTTCTGAGTACATACACACAGACACAAACCGGATGTCAGTCAGTTAGAGGTCATTTCTGGGCTCTCTTTTGGCTCTTTTTGGGGGGTTCTCAAGGGACTTTTGGGAGAGAGAGAGAGAGAGGAGATCCTAATACAATTACGGAGAAGAGAGCTCTTTGTAAATTATGGACTGCACAGACAGGGAGAGGGACCAGAAAGTTCTAGGAATCCTTGAATATATCAAAATCAAGGGAAGAAAATTCCAGGAAATTTGAGCAAAGACCAACTAAATTTAACTGACTTTTATCTGAAAATTAGCAGATTTGGGCGCACACCACTCTCGCGAAGGTTGGCGCGCCTTGGAGGGTGCTCACTTCCACGTGGCATATCTCCCCAGGACTTGATTTTCTACAAAACATGCCAACTACAAAAATAAAGCCTTAGTTTTAATTAATATGTTCTGAAATTTTCAGACAAATCCAATAAATCTGAGCTAGATTTTCAGATAGCCAAAAAAAATACCTTTGTGCTCCCAACTACAAGGGGGGAGGTGAAACACTCTCGAGGGATGGGCGATTCCACGTGGCGTAACTGCTCAGTACTTGAATTCCCGAAAATGTGGTCAACTATGAAAATGAAGCTCTAGTTTTGTTTAGTATACTCTAAAATTTTCAGACAAATCCTATAAATTTAAGCTAGAGTTTTAAAGCCTCACAGTGGACGGTTTTTAATGCAATTTTGGTTTTTTTTGCTAGGTTCAAAATCTATCAATTTTAGGCGTTTTTTCATGGTGCTTTTTTTTGTGTAATTTCAGTTGAATCACCTTCTGAAATAATTTTTCATATTTTAAATTCCCTTTTTCTTCTAATTTCTCTTCAAAAAATGCAAATTTCCCAAAAAGGCTTAAGCAAGACAAATGAGTCTTATGTCATTTTTCCCATTTTGAACAGATTGCGTCTTCCTTTTCGGCATCTTTTTTCCTTTTTTTTCAACGTTTCCGCTCGTTTTGAGCCGTTTTGGGGGCAAAAGGACGCATGAGCATAATCTATTTGATGTGTGTAATGAGCTAAATTTAGTGGGGGGGGGGGAGGGAAGCTGGCGAAAACAATGGGACTGGGACACAGACAGTTGGAGAGGGGGAAAAAGAGGGGTAAAGGGACCGATTTTTAGTAGTCTAAGGTATTTTATAAATCTTAACACCTTTTTTGATTTTTCGCTCAAATTTATTGGATTTGTTTGAAAATTTCAGATTATGTTGAACAAAACTAGAGCTTTCTTTTTGTAGTTGACATCTTTTTTGAAAAATAAAAAACTAAAGAGATACAGCACATTTCTCGAAAATAAGTGAAAATTCGCGTTTTTGGAAAAATGGTCTTCTTTTCGGATGCCTGAAAAGCTTGCTCAAATTTTTTTGGATTTGTCTGAAAATTTTGAAGTACACTAAACAGAACAAGAACTTCATTTTTGTAGTTGACCACTTTTTTAGAAAATCAAGTCCTGAGGAGATATGCCACGTGGAATAGAACGCCCTATAAGGCGCGCCCACCCTACGTGGTAGGCGCCGGAGGAGAGAAGAAGGGAACTTCCACGTGGCGTACCTCCCTAGAACTGGATTTTCAAAAAAAGTTGTCAACTACAAAAATAAAGCTCCAGTTTTGTTTAGTATATTCTGAAATTTTAAGACAAATCCAATAAATTTGAGCTAGTCAAAAATGCTTTTTTTTTCCAAAATCGCGAATTCCTGGGAAAATTAATATTAGTTATTTCTTTTGAGTTTTTCCCGTTTAAAAAATAGGTTTTTTTATCAATTCTCCCACCACTAATTATGCTTGTGTAGTCATTGAAGCGTAATCTAAAAGGATCATCCTTATTCGTAACAAAAACGGATCAAGTGAGAG